ATTCTGAAGGCTGAGGGACGATGCCTGGTCCTCCGATATCTCCTGGAGCTGAACCAGATGTGTGAATTTCCCAATGGGTTAATTCCCCATTGAAACTTTCTTTGGCCTGTCTGGGATCTCCCACTGGTTCCAACTTCACTGAAGCTGCCCCTCGTGTCCTGTGAGAAGGGAACACAACTTCTTCTGCTCCACCCTGGAGCTTCTGCCTCTTGATCACAGGGCCTTTTCGGCTGCCTCCTTTGCAGAAGCTTCTCTGATTTGTTAGTTTTAGGGTCCGGGGAAATTTTTGCCTGTTCACACATGATTTCCTTCTTCCCTTGACCTCTCTCTCTCTCTCTCTCTCTCCCCTCCCACCTTCCTGGCTGCCAGAAAGTTGCCTATAAGTCCCGGCGGTGGATTTATGACTTGAGGACCATCGCTGAAGTGGAGGGCTCCGCTGTGAAAGCCTGGAAGCACGCAGAGTGGAAGGAGCAGGTCCTGGTCCCAGCGTTGCCACAATCCATTCTGCAAGGCTGCAGTCTTATTCACATCGATTACTACATCCAGGTGAGATCAGAGGAGGAAGGGGAGGTGGGAGGACCGTGGGGTCCTGGGTGCTCTCTGAGCTTGGTGGTTCTCTTGCAGACGTTTCATTAGCCAAACTAGGGAGCATCATCAGTGCTAGAAGAGAGTGGGTTTGCAGAGAGGAGGAGGAGGAGGAGGACAGTGGGGTCCTTGGTGTTCTCTGAGCATGGTGGTTTTCTTGCAGACATTTCATTACCCAACTAGGGAACATCACCAGTGCTAGAAGGGAGTGGGGATTGCAAAGAGGAGGAGGAGGAGGAGGAGGAGGAGGAGGAGGAGGACTGGAGGGTCCTCGGTGCTCTCTGAGCTGGGTGGTTTTCTTGCCGACGTTTCATTACCCAACTAGGGAACATCACCAGTGCTAGCTAAACATCTGCAAGAAAACCACCCAGCTCAGAGAGCACGGAGGACCCCTCATTCCAGCCCTGAGCTACAAAGATTCTCCTTTATTGATAAATAGATGGTAATGCTTGCCACAGATTTCAAATGTCCTTCTTAGTTTCCAAATTGCAAAGCGCTGGGGAGGAATCTGGGAACCGTTGGGACTCGGTTCTAAAGACTGAGCCTTTGGTGTTTTTTTTTCTTCTTTCCACTACACCCAATATAAATAAACATCAATTCCATCTTCTGGAACTGAGAAACTGAGGCAGGGGGAAAGCTAGTTCCACTTGGTTGAACTTCCTAGCCTAGCGTGTTCAACTTGGGGGCCAGAATTCATGGGCTGAATATTTCACCCTTGGCAGTGGGAAACACCACCTGAATCCAGAATAACGGTTCTCTCGTTGACGTCTTATAAGATGGACTCTTTTTTTAGGCTTCACGGCTGTTTTTCCAAAAGAGGAAGTTTGATTGGCCCATTAGAGGATGAATTTACATAGAGTTTGAAAGTTAAAGCCATCAGCCGCTTTTTTCAATGCCGTTGTAACTTCGAAACTGTCGCTCAGTGAACTGTTTGAAGTGGAGGACCGCCCCTACTAATGAGGATGTCCACCCTCCTTATTTTTGATCTTTTTTAGGTCTCCCTCAAGTCCCCCGACGTCTCCGTCGCATTGCCCATTTACATCGGCAACATTGCCGTGAACCGGATCCCCTTAAGTCCTTCTCACCTGGTCCCCAGCCTTCCCTCGCCGGTGGTCCCGAGCGCGCCTCCCGAAGAAGAAGCAGCAGCCAGGGGTCATTCCCACCCCATGGACAATATTTCAATCCCTACTAAGAGCCATTCCCAACAGCAGCCCTTCAGCTACGCCCCAGGATTGTGCTTCCCGGAAGTGAGACCGGATTCGGAGCAGATCACCTCCCCTAACTGTCCCACTCTTTGCTTGTCGACGGGATCAACGGTTCCTTATTACGCCGAGGGTGCTGTCGTTCCAGTGGCCACGGCCAGTTCTTTGATCCTACCGCCCGAGTATAGCACCTGGGGTTATCCATCCGGTAAGCCGCCTGCTGGGGTTGGAAATAAATTGTCTGGGGGTGGCGGAGAGCTGTCAGGCTCCAAAACACAAGGAGAACGTGTTGAGGTTCTTCTAAGCAGTCTCCTTTATTGCCCCTGCCCTCTAGACAGAATCTTGCCAAGATGAAGCAGGTGACTTGCGCCATTAAACATATACTTTGAAGAACTATTAGGGAGGAGCTGTCTTCGCCCACTTTCTAGCACACAACCGATCTAAGCCTTCCAAAACACAAGGAGAACGTGTTGAGGTTCTTCTAAGCAGTCTCCTATATTGCCCCTGCCCTCTAGACAGAATCTTGCCAAGATGAAGCAGGTGACTTGCGCCATTAAACATATACTTTGGAGAACTATTGGGGAGGAGCTGTCTTCGCCCACTTTCTAGCACACAACCGATCTAAGCCTTGCTGTCTCTTGCTCCCCGTCTGCAGGAGAAGAGCAGGCATTGACTTGGGTCTTGTTGCGCAATCAATCCTCTGAATGGCAGCTTGACATAAGGTCCTGAGTCTTTGCGGCCTCTCCCTCCTGGCATTCCAGACTGCATCCCATCAGAGGACCTGAGATGTGAATTTAGACTCCTTAGTTGGGGTTGCAGGCGGTCCTTCGGAATAGCTGTAGAACCAAATAGGACAGAATAACAGAGTTGGAAGGGACCTTGGAAGTCATCTAGTCCAACCCCCTGCTCAGGCAGCAAACTCTATACCATTTCAGACAAATGGCTGTCCAGTCTCTTCTTAAAAACCTCCAGTGATGGAGCACCCACAACCTCTGGAGGCAAGTTGTTGCACTGGTTAATTGTTCTCATTCTCAGGAAATTCCTCCTTAGTTCTAGATCAGATCTCTCTTTGATAAGCTTCCATCCGTTACTTCTTGTCCTGCCTTCAGGGGCTTTGGAGAACAGCTTGACCCCCTCTCCTTTGAGACAGACCCAGTGGTGGGATTCAGCCGGTTCGCACTTCGGCAGAACCGGTAGCTAATTTTTTTTGTTGCCCAGGCCCAGAAAAGGACTTCCAGAAGCGGCATCCACAAAGCGAACCGGTTGTTCCCATATTTGAATCCCACCACTGGACAGAGCCTCAATTGTTGGAAGACTGCTATCACGTCACCCCTAGTTCTTCTCTTCTTTAGACTAGACCAGGGGTAGGCAACCTTGGCTCTTTTATGACTCGTGGACTTCAACTCCCAGAATTTCTGAGCCAGCCACGCTGAGGGGAAAGGGGGAGGTTTCCAAGCTGAGCCATGCTGGCTCAGGAATTCTGGGAGTTGAAGTCCACGAGTCATCAAAGAGCCAAGGTTGCCTACCCCATGGACTAGACCTACCCAATTCATCTCCAAATGGCTCCATTCTCCTCAATTTACGGGTTACGATGTCTCTTCTCCTTCCTTTCTCTCCAGAGGCACCTCCTTCCTACGAACAGAGTTGTAGCAGTGCGGCCTCTAGCTTCAGCAACGACAACTAGGCTCTAGCCTGGCCATCTGAAGACCACGGTGAATCGGGAGGAACGCCGGTACACGGCGTTGCTCGGAAGAGGCAGTCCCACCTGGCCACGGGCCTGTTGGCCGCACCTGACCAACGCTAGGGATGTTTTTTTGGGTTTTTTTGACATCCCACCTGTGAACTGTACAATCCTGCCACCTACTTTTGCTGCTTTACTCTCCAAACACCTGAGATGCCTTATGCCTTACAGCCGGAATCAAAGAAGATGGATGGACGCTTCAAGTATTCGAACATGCATTCGGTTTCTGGGGTTTTTTTTTGGAGTGCTGCTCTTGAATTTCCACGGTGGGATTCGCTGTCTGGACAGTTCCGTTTTGGTCTCCTTCGCTCTCCCCTGATGTTCTAGAGTTGTTTCTAGAGAGGGTGGGCAAATACTGCTGGAGAGCTCTTTTCGACGTTCCCGTTGGACCACAGGCATCCTTTTTATTTTTATTTTTTTCCAATGACATAACGGTGTCGACAGGTTATCGGCAGGACTTATTGCAGTCTTTCCAACTCGGTGCCTGTTTTTTTTGGAGCTTTTTCAGGAGGTCTGTCGCAACAGGAGAAGATAGAAGATAGACCCAAGTCGTTTTTATAGTGTTGAGCCAGCCTTGGGTAGAAGAAAGATCTTTCTTGATGTTAGTTTGGTTCCCCAGGGCCAAAGGAATCCTAACGTGTTCAAGCCACTCTGGTTAGCCAGGATTCGTTCCAGATACATCTCTGAGCACTTTGTCGCTGAGCATTAGTAGGAGTTGATCCTGAACTTCTTCTCCGGAATCCTCCAACGTTGACTTTCCACCTGGTTGGTAGCATCTGACAATCATGCTTGTGTCCTACTTCTACCTCGGCGTTCCTGTTTCCATGAAACAAGATGGAACCATGAAAGGGGTGGAGAGAGGCACGGCTAAAATTGAAAGTATCTCTATAATTTTGAAGAAAATAACAAAGATCTTATATCTCACGGACCTTTTGACCACATAGGATGTGGTCCTGATTGTCCCTTTGCCTGTGCCATCAGTTTTATCTGGCTGGCAATCCCTGCCCAAATGTGGCTGGTTAGTTATTTTTAATTATTGTCTTTTTTAAAAAAAAATCTTCAAATGGAAGATGCTTTCCCACGTTCACTGCCTCAATCATCTGTCTTCTCTCAAACCATCAAGGTAGCTTCAGCTGCTTGGTTTGAGAAGCAATGACCATGTTTCCTATAATGCATATCCTGGGACCTAAAACCTCCCCCCCTCTCCCACCTGATTTTCTTCTCCTTTCTTATCCACTGTGAGTTACTCAACGGTTACAACCTCCCACCCTTTTACAGGATCCCAGTTGCGTGGAGACCAACCCACGGAGATTCCTCAAATTAACTGTTTTTATAAGGTGATTGAAACCTCTCTGTCTCTCTCTCTCTGTTTTTGATCGACTTGTTTTAATGGTGAAGTTTAAAAAAAAACAACAATTTTAATGTATTTAATAAATTATTCTGAGAAAACTGCAAAAGGGTTTGGTCGGTGCTCCTTCCCTTCCTCTTCTGATTCGGCCTTGCGGTTTGGCAGGTTTTGATGTACTTCTCCTTAATCAGTTTTGCATCTTGAGAAGCTGAAAAATGGCCAGGTTTTACATAAGATGCAGCTTCCTTTTTCCTGTCAACATCAGCTCTGGAGAGCTTGTGAGAAGAACAGAAAAGTATTAATTTCCTCCTGTGTGGTCTTGAAGCGGCAGAATCTTGGTGATATTTACATAGATAGTCCCTGACTTACAGTCCTAATCGTCACAACTTCGTTTAGTGACCGTTAAAAGGGATTGAAAAAAAAAAGTGGCCATTTTTTCACACTTATGACCGTTGCAGCGTCTCCAGGGTCCAAATTTGGAAGCTCGCCAACTGGCTCGTATTTATGACGGTCGCAGTGTCCAGGGGTCACGTGATCCCCTTTTGCCATCTCCTTGACAAACACACTCAATGGGGTCGGCCAGATCCACAAGCGCGTGACTCATTTTGCAACTGCAGGGTTTCATTTATGAACGGTGGCAGGAAAGCTCGCAAAATGGGGCAAAACGCACACTTCAAAGTGCCTTGCTAAGCCACAAAAATATTGAGCTCACTTGCGCCTGTAAGTCGAGAATCACCTACGGTAATATGAGCTAGAGTTGTCTGTTGCGCAAAACCGGGGTTGAGATGTGATTTTGGTTCCCAGGAAGCCACGATGCTCCTAGAAGGGGCTGGATTGAAACATTTCAAGGTCGTAAGGATGAGAATGGAGAGTCAAACATCTTAAGAGAGCAGAAATGAACCTCCAACATTAATCATTTTGTCACTGAATTTAAGTGGTGTCAAAGGACCACGGGACCTCAGGCCCTGGAGTTGAATATTTGTGCCATGACAGATGAACGCCGGTAGATGAATTCACACAATGAAGTAAACCAAGACCATGAAACCACAAATTTCCCTAAGTCCTACATATCTTGAGCTCTCACGTAGAACCTGTTGTTTTTAGAAGCCCAAGAAGTCTCTTCTGGACACGCCAGAGAGACCTGCAAAATCAGGCAATTACCGTTATTTCTGCCCACTTAGAGAAACCTGCAAAATTTCAGAGGAGTCCAAGTTTATCAAGCAGGTTCTAGATAACGTACATTCGAGATGGAGATGGATCAAGTCTTGACCGTTCTGCACATGTTTTTCATCCCAAGGCTGAGTTCACGCCGCATGCTAAGGGATAATGTAGTCTGGTTTTGGCTTTAGTATGTTTTGTGAAGCCAGCAATTACAGTTGGTCAAGCAGAGTTTATAAATTTTGCAGGACATGTGAAGAAATTCAGCTGGAACGGATGAGTTCCAGAACACTGAATGGGCATCAAATTGCCCAACAATATAAGTAACTCAAGAACCTCAGAATAGGAGAGTTGGA